CGGCATCCGTGTTCGCATTCATGCCCTTCTGGTGGACCGCTACGTGCAGACCTTCAAGGAGAAGATGAGCTTCTTCAGCGACCCCGAACTGGTCTTAAAAGAGATCGTGGACGATCCTGATAAGTTCTACATTTTCAAGTCCATCCTAGCCAAAACCAACGTCAGCAAGTTTGACCTGCCCAACCGAGACGCTTACCGTGACTTCTTCGGGATCAACCCGGTGAGCAGCTTCAAGCAGCTGTCGGCCCAATGCTCCTACATGGGCGGTTGTCTACTGGAGAAGATCGAGCGCGCCATCACCCACGAACTGCCCTCTCTGCTCGGCAGCATCAACTCTAGCAAGAACCCGACTTTGTCCTCCTGCGAGGCCACCGGCTGCGGGGAAAAGCCCAAGAACCGCTACCGGCGAAACTGAGAGAAGAAACCAGGCGGGAGGGAGACCGAGGAGAAGGAGGACGAGAAAGGAGGGACGGTGGAGCGAACAAACCGAGGAGGAGCAGTGGAGCTAATCCTGTTCCTGCCGCGGGTCCGTTTCGAGTCAATGGAGACGGATCTCACGGGACTGTTTTTTGCGTGAAGAGGTTGTGTGGGGGGACGTCTGAGGGCGGGGGATTCTGGGAATGGGTGGAGGGAGGTTCTTGTGAAGTCTTGAGGCGGAGTTTCTTGTGAATGTGAGGAGAGCGCGCCAAAATAACTCTCCTCTCTTTCCGCACTACTTTTATAAACGGTCTGCAGTTTTGGAGGGAAAACGTGTACGCATGGAAAACAAAAATGGCTGACACACACTTAAAAAATGTAAAAAATAGCAAAAATAAAATATCCTGGGACTGAAAATCAGGTATCAGCTGCCTTGAATGTGAACCAAAATGCAACAGTGATGCAATTGCCATGTTTTAAACATACTGATTATATAATGAGTTCCCCACTCATGCATTTTTTCCACTGTTTTTCTGGTTGATTTGTTCACTTATATAGGTTAGTAACTATGGATGATTATTTTTTTTCTCCTCTACTAGCATTTTTACACTGCATGTTATGATACATATGGGTTTGGTTTCTTTCACATTTCCACTTATCCACTTTGTGTACCACAATAAAGGTTCCAAAAGGACGTTTTCGCAGCAATGCCATAGAAGATCCATTTGGGGTTCTCTAAAGAACCTTTAAAGGAATAGTTCACCCAAAAATGAAAATTTGCTGAAAATTTACTCACCCTCAGGCCATCACATATGTAGATTTCTTCATGAGAACAGATTTGGGGAAATTTAGCATTATATGAGCAGTGAATGGGTGCCGTCAGAATAAGAGTTCAAACAGCTGGCAACTAATCCACAAGTAATCGGCACGACTATCAATTAATGTCTTGTGAAGAGAAAAGGTGCGTGTTTGAAGAAACAAATTTATCATTAAGGCCATTTAAACCTTTGCTCTAGGCCAAAATATGAGTCCATAATCCATAATAACGCTTCCTCCAGTGAAAACGTTATCCTCACACATCAAAATCCACCCACACGTTTGTTTAGAACTGTTTTTGCTTGTAAACGGATCTGTGCATATTTCTCTCCTGATTCAGATGAGATGACTTTTCACTGGAAAAAGCAATATTACGGATAGAAGACTTGCATTTTAGCCAGAAACAACAGTTTGAAGTAAAAAACATCTTAATGATGAATTTGTTTCATACAAACACACATCTTTTCACTTCACCAGATGTTAATTGATGGACTGGAGTGGTGTGGATTACTTGTGGATTATTGTGATGTTTTTATCAGCTGTTTGGACTCTCATTCTGACGGCACCCGTTCACTGCAGAGCATCCATTGCTGAGCAAGTGATGTAATGCTACATTTCTCCAAATCTGTTCTAATGAGGAAACAAACTCATCTTGGCCTGAGAGTGAGTACGTTTTCTTTTTAGGGTGAACTTTTAGTTTTTAGTGTAAAGAACATTTTAATAATCTTTTTCCGCAAAAATAACCTTTTGTGCATTTGAACGGTATCTAACGGTATTTGAAAGGTTCTTCATGGAACCACTGATCCCAATAAAGAACCTTCATTTTTAAAAGCGTATTTAAAATTCCACAACTAATAGCCAGGTCTTAAGGTTGGGGTTTTGTGTGGAAATAATCACATTCATCTAGATATCTAGATAGATGTTACCTCAGAAAGCTGCATTTTTATAAGCTTCTTTTTTTTTTTTTGAATCCTAGTTATGATGTATGGTAGTCAACAGTGAAAATAGTGCAAACAGTGCAGTTCTGTGGGAGCGAAAACTGCAATAAAGTGTTATTAACCGAGCTGTCTGGTTTTTTGGAGTAGGGTCGTGGCAGTTAATAGACTCGGATCTCTTCTGAAAGACCTGTCTAGTCCCTGTTAAATATCAAGGTCACTCTTTGTTCCCACCTCCAAAAATAGAAAAGATGATCCATGGTGTCGCTATCAGATTTAGATTTTAACCACAAGTAAGTGCTGAAAGATGCTCAAGTCAGCTGTATATTTAGCAGGTGTGTTTCTAAAACAGGTGGGAGATCACAGGGGTCGTCATAAATGCAGCAAGCCCATTAAAACATGCAGAGGATGTGAATATTGCTCAGTGTCTGAGCATGATTAGTTATTCTGACAGATGGCTTGTTTAAATTTTTTTTTGAAAGGTATTAAACTACAGCTCTCAAGACTTCCTGCACTGTTTGTGCAACAAGCTAAAAACTACTCACTGCAGTGTTTTCACTGGCAAACACCCCTCACATGTTCTTTAGACAATGCAAAAATCAGTTTCTTCAAGTATCTAAAGACTATTAGAGTAAAAGTAACACTTCTCATTAGCTGTGAGTGAGTGTCCATATGTGTTGAAGTTGCTGTGGCAGTAGTTGTCCACTAGAGTGAGCACAGAATGTGAAGAGAGGTACAGCATTGCATCACATTGACAAGAGGACAAAACAACAGAAATTGCACTCCACATTATACTGAGGTGAAGAAGATTATTGTACAAACCATTTTTTGGCAACATAAGGTGAATGAAATGAAGCAAAATGTGAAATGAAAAAGAGGTTGAACATTACAAAATGACCATTATGAAACAGTGACAGTTTGTTCATGAAAATGTGCAATAGCATAAAATGAACATACTAAAGAGAGATTTGACATTGTGATTGAAACTTCTGAATCATGACGCAGTGGAGAATGTCTAATCATTATGTGTGAGGTTAAAAGTCAACATAAAAACCAAAATGTACCCCGTTTACTTAATACACGTTAGCTATTTGCTATTTATCCATTGTTTTAGGCTGTTGTTGTAGGTAATGCCTTTCTAAAATGAATTCCCAATAAACGAACACAGTAATTTAATGCGAATGTTTATTTAAAGGAATAGTTCACCCAAAAATAAAAATTAGCTGAAAACTTACTCACCCTCAGGCCATCCAAGATGTAGATGAGTTTGTTTCTTCATCAGATTTGGAGAAATGTAGCATTACATCACTTGCTCACCAGTGGATGCTCTGCAGTGAATGGGTGCCGTCAGAATGAGAGTCCAAACAGCTGATAAAAACATCACAATAATCCACAAGTAATCCACATGACTCCAGTCCATCAATTAATGTATTGTGAAGTGAAAAGTTGTGTGTTTGTAAAAAACAAATCCATCATTAAAATCCAAATTGTAGCTTCTGGCCAAAATATGAGTCCATAATCCATAATAACTCTTCCTCCAGTGAAAAGTCCTTCCCCTGTTGTTCTCTCACATCAAAATCCACTGACATATTTAGAACTGTTTTTGCTTGTAAACGGTGCTTGATCTTTGCATATTTCTCTCCTGATTCAGACGAGATGACTTTTTCACTGGAGAAAGCAATATTATGGACAGAGGACTCTTTATTAATGATGTCTTGATGAATTTGTTTCTTAAAAAACATCCAGCTTTTTGCTTCACAAGACGTTAATTGACGGACTGACTAATTGATGGAGTGTTGTGGATTGTTTGTGGATTATTGTGATGTTTTTATCAGCTGTTTGGACTCTCATTCTGACGGCACCCATTCACTGCAGAGGATCCATTGGTGAGCAAGTCATGTAATGCTGCGTTTCTCCAAATCTGTTCCCATGAAGAAACAAACTCGTCATCTACATCATGGACAGCCTGAGGGTGATACAATTTTATTTTTGGTTCTAGTTTTCCCACAATACTGCATCACTCCTGTAGCTCAAATAGTAGCACATGTTGCAAAAAATGCCAAGGGTCATGGTTTTGATTCCAGGGAATGCAAGGCCTGATAGAAATATTTATAAAACTTGAATGCAATGTAAGTTGCTTGGATAAAAGTGCCTACCAAATGCATAACTGTACATGTAAATCCATTGCAAACTCACTTGCAGCTCAATTCTGATAAGAAACACACACTTTACACCTTCACATCAATTCCTGATGGAAAATAATCAAGCAGCATCCTACATGAATATTCTGTTTCCCTCTGAAATACATCACATAACTGAAGTAATTTGGGTTGCTGATGTCTTTCATGTTGCTTTTAATGAACAGATTGCAATCAAGGAAGTTTCCTCATTATATTCCCGTATCTGTTATTCTGTGTTTAACACATTAGAAGATGTAACAGCTCGTTTTACAGCACTGCTCGAGAAGCAAATGTGCAATATGGCCGTTGTATTCACTAGCAGAATGAAACGATATTAATCCTAAAGAGTTAATAATGGCATGGGTCTGCACGCCTGCGTGAGGACACGGCCCACTGATCACATATTTCAAAACAGACTGTGCTATATTCCCCCAAGAGCTAGGGAAGCCCCCACAACATCAGGGCTGCGCCTTTGAAAGCGTGTGAAGTCACACTCACACATACACACGTTTCAGACGGCGGGTTGAAGTTTGCCTTGCGCTCAGACGTGATTGGAGAACAGGTCTGGAAGCTGCATTGCAGCAGCTTGGGTCGGTCGTGACTCCAACTCAAAGGGAGGTGTGTGAGTGAACTGTAACGGGGACTGTGTATCATGTTCAAAGGGAATGATGTTTCTCAAGGCTGTTTCTCTTTGTGAGTGTATTTCAGTAAACTGAAAGGTGTGAGTAGAAACATGCTTCATTAGGTCAATCGCACAAGTTTCATTTTCAATATATTTATATTTGTTGCATTACAGTTATAAGAATAAGAATTCTAAAACTTTTTTTTTTGCACTGTGACAATTTTCGCCTCAAGTTCTCATTACTGTAATGCATCTGGATGTTTTAACCATAATTCCCAAAGGTATTTTATCAAAGAAAATACATGTACAGTGGGTATAGAAAATAATTACCCCTTTTAAAATAATCACATTTTGGGGTTTTTTTGCAGCCTGAAATGAAGACACACAGTTCTTGTTTTATCCAGCTGTATTTACATCCAAATTAAAGATATAAACACCAACATGTCAGAAAAAAATTAAAAACCAGAATCACTGAGTTGGAAAAAGGATCACCCCCCTCCTAAAAATGACTTGTAAACTCAATCAGGTGTAACTAATCACCTTCTCAATTCATAGAAGTATTGAACCTGAATGGTCCTATGGTTCTTTATTTTCTTCAAGGAAAATGTAATGTCTTTTTCTCTTTTTTTTCTTTTCTTCTAATTTCTTCCCCCTCATTTTGGGATGAAATATAACCTGGACATGTTCTTGAGTGGTTTGTGTTGGAATTGATGCTCCGTGATGCTCTTCACTTTTTCAAAAACACTTTTTATCCCCAGTATCAACATAATCTAGAGCAAGCAGTGTACTTCTGTAAGAAACCGGTTACCTTTCTGTGTCATGACCCACCAGTTCAGGCCTGCTCTAGAGACACACAGCTGCAGTTCTCCAGGGAATTCCTTTGAAACCGTCTTCGGAAGTGTTTTAAGCATCTTAGCCTCACGCCGGCTTCCGAAACAACATAATCACTTTGATTCAGCCACAGTTACTGCTGTTCGGTGTGAGCACAAGACGGCAACAGAGCAAAGAGACTCTGTTAATTAATTAAAACATGTGGATTAAAGACTTATGGTTTATTTTTGGAATTATTTCATAAACTGGGATCAACATTTCATTACAGAATTGGTGGATTTGGTGAGTATTACAGAAAACACGGTGGGAAATATTTAATAAACCCTTCGGCCCCCAAGCAGAGCTGACCTGGAAAGCAAAGGACTTCCAGTATCCAAGCACTGATTATTTAATTAAAATATAATTGATGTATTGAATGAAACTGATGGAATTATTGAAAATTGTTTTTTCTATCTATCTATCTATCTATCTATCTATCTATCTATCTATCTATCTATCTATATATCTATCTATCTATCTGTCTGTCTGTCTGTCTGTCTGTCTGTCTATCCGTCTATCCATCTATCTATCTATCCGTCTTTCTGTCTATGTCTCTCTGTCTCTGTCTGTCTGTCTATCTATCCGTCTATCTATCTATCTATCTATCTATCTATCTATCTATCTATCTATCTATCTATCTGTCTGTCTGTCTGTCTGTCTATCTATCTATCTATCTATCTATCTATCTATCTATCTATCTATCTACCTACCTGTCTGTCTGTCTGTCTGTCTGTCTATCTATTGATCTATCCGTCTGTCCATCTATCCGTCTGTCTGTCTGTCTCTGTCTTTCTGTCTCTGTCTTTCTGTCTGTCTGTCTATCTATCTATCTATCTATCTATCCATCAATCCATCTATCCGTCTGTCTGTCTGTCTGTCTGTCTGTCTCTCTGTCTCTCTATCTATCCGTCTATCCATCTAT